TGTAAAGATGAGGTCTCACCAAGTTGCCCAGGCGGGTCTCGAACCCGCAGGCTCAGGTAATTCACTCACCTCAGCCTCCCAAGGCGCAGGATTACAGGCTGAGCCACCGAGCCGGCTTAATTTTATTTTTGATATAGGGTCTTTCTCTGCCCAGGCTGGAGTGCAGTGGCCAGTCGTGGCTCACTGCAGCCTCAAACCCCTGGGCTCAAGCGATCCTCCTGTCTCAGCCTCTTGAGTAGCTGGAACTACCTGTGTATACCACCACACTCAGTTAATTTTTTGGAAAGATGGGGTCTCACTGCCCAGGCTGGTTTTGAGCTTCTGGCCTCAAGTGATCTTCCTGACTAGGCTTCCCAAACTGCTGGGTTTACAGACATGAGCCACTGTGCCCAGCTGAGAAGTGTGTTATAAAAAATATCTCCACTAATCTGGAATAGTTCTCAGTCTCTTCTTTTTCTTTCTTTATCTTTAATGACAGTGACATCTGTAAAGTGTCTAAGCTAGTCATTTTGCACTAAGCTAGTCATTTTCACTTTGGTTTCTCCTTCCTCAAAATTGGATTTTTTGGCAGGAATACTGCAGGAGGGATGTTGTGTCCTCAGTGCACCACATCAGGAGGCACGTGATGCCACTTTGTCCTATTAATACTAATTAAGCTTTGATTCCTCGATTAAAGTGGCATTCTCCAGATCAGGCTAGCTTTTGACAACTTAGAAACATAAAAACTATTGGCACTGACTTTCCAAGCAGCCAGAGCAGCTGGAGCACACCTGACCTGTCTTCACCTTCTTCATCCTCTCTGGGAACACCAGTAATTGGAGGATGGCAGGAAATGAAAAGGGAGTGGCAAGGTTCTGCAGTGCTCCTGAGGCCCGTGGGGAGAACTCTATAGCTATTTTATTTTTTTGAGTCGAGGTCTCACTCTTCCATCCAGGTTGGATCACGGTTCACTGGAACTTTGACCTTCTGGGCCCAAGCCATCCTTCCGCCTAAGTCTCCCGAGTAACTGGGACTAGAGGCGTGCGCCAGCTACTTTATAATTTTTTCCCCACAGCTGACTTCTGTGCGGTGCTGCGGATCCCGGGATGGAGATCACCACCCTGCCGTTGTTATACATGAATCCCAGTACACGCACGTCCGTGTGGGCATGAAAGTAGGCATGGGTGCAGTGTCTATGCATGTATGTAGTCGTCTTTTCACCTGCGGTCTACTACATCAGTACCAGCAAGACAAAGGACAATATCAGGAGTCCAGAAGATGCAAAGATCAATTCTGTGCAAGCTTCACGATTCGGGGTGTCTGTTCCTTTTTCTTCTTTTTTTTTTTGAGTTGGAATCTCACTCTGTCGCTCAGGTTGGAGTGTAGTGGCTCGTTCACGGTCACCTCAGCCTCGACCTGCTGGACTCAGACGATCCCTCCGCCTCAGCCTCCCAAGTATCTGGAAGTACAGGCGCACACCACCTTGTCTGGCTAATTTTTTGGTTTATTGTAGATACGAGGTTTCGCCAAGTTGCCCAGGCTGGTCTCGAACCCCTGAACTCAGGCAATCCTCTTGCCTCGGCTTCCCAAAGTACTGGGATTACAGGCGTGAGTCACCGCGCCCGGCCCCTTTTTCTTCCAAAGCACCCCCCACGTCTGGCGCACTGGAGTGGGCTAGGTCCTGCATGCATCTGTGCTTTCCTGCGCGAGCGGTCAGGGATCTCAAGCGCTCCCTCCTGCCTGGGCCGTCTTGGTACGGCCCACGATCCCCCCTTCCTTTCCTCGGATGGTTGCACCCGCCCCACCCGGAAGTGCTTGCTCCCCGGCGCGCGCGTGCGGCTTCGCTGCCAGGCATGGACCCCGCCGGCGGTCCCGG